TCCAATTAACGATCCTTTGGGCATTTCCTCTGGAATAGCATAGCTGGCCTGTCCCACCACCGAGTCCAGACAAAAAAGAGAGATGAGAAAAAATACAAGCTGATTCATTGTTCTTCTCGGTTTTCCACTTTCAGCTTCGTGTTAAAATCCACCACTAAAATCAATTTCCAACCCCCGACTGCGTTTTGAGTCGCATACGGAAAGCAAATAAATGACGTAGAAATATAAGAAAATCCTTTTATCGGTTAAGATTCCTCCATTAAACCCACCCGATGACCGACTGCTTTGCTCCCTTTATCTAATGTGCATTTTGTTCGGATGATGGAACCACACTCTGTAATCCACCAGAGCGCTAGTCAACAGCGGCCCTAAGAGTCGAAACCTTAACACTGCAGAAGGTTAAATCTTTTAACCCATTTAGGGTCAAAACATATATAAAATATAAAAACAGCAACATTTCCTCAATTTTACTATTTTACCAAGATACCTAAAAAAAATACCATATAATATATATTTTATGCTATATTTATTGGATATATCAAATAACTTCTTTTAGCTAAGATATTCAAAGGGGCCGACAAAAACTTGAAATCAATTTCACAGGGTGTAATAAAAACATTAAAACAGAAGCATTTTAAAACAATAAAATTGTGCGGTTTTATTTAAGACATGTGCATTTAAAGGAGGACAATTTTTCGGTTTTTCACTCATATCTAATGATCGCCATTTTTTCTGTATGCGTAATATTTCTGTTGAGTCTCATCAGTCTAATAACTTAAAGATGCCATAGGACAGAAGGCAATTTTAGCAGGTACAGCGCCTCCATGATCACCAGCCACCCTGATGAGAGTTGGTCTTACTCTAAAGCTACACAGCAATGTGACGTGTGTTTCAGCTCAGATACACTAAAGAGTGATGTAGTGGTTTTTGCCTCAGTTCACACCTGTAGACGCTAAACTGATCAGTATTAATGGAGGAGACACTTTTACCTAATAAGGGAAAGTGAAGAGTTAAACTTCCCTTTACAGACATGGTATATATTCACGTTTTAACCTTTTCATAACATGCTATCTATCCCTTTTTACATCTAAAGTGTGTATTTATTTATTTATCTTATCATTTATTTTTATCTATGTCTAACCTGGTTATATTACCATTTGCAGTTATTAAATTAATTGTGTATAAAGCCATTCCTTTTATCCGTTTATAGAATGTTCAGCTTCTTGCTGCCAAATTTATTTGATGAATAAAGTGGTTAATGACTGGGTTATGCGCATTTTATGTAATATAAAGTTTCATTTGGTATTACATATGTTGTTTGAATAATTCTTTCCTTTTTGTGTGCTAACAATTTAAGACAAATTCTCCAAAAAATAATATAAGTATATAATGATAAAAGAGGAAAACATTCATTTTGTGTAGATTAATGTAAATCGAGTTGTATACAGAAGTACAACCACATCTAAAAACTGTACTATAAATGTAGCTAACGTTGGTGCTTAATTTCCNAGAAATATAACAAAATCCTTTTATCGGTTAAGATTCCTCCATCAAACCCATCCGATGACCGACTGCTTTGCTCCCTTTATCTAATGTGCATTTTGTTCGGATGATGGAACCACACTCTGTAATCCACCAGAGCGCTAGTCAACAGCGGCCCTAAGAGTCGAAAGCTTAACACTGCAGAAGGTTACATCTTTTGTTCCATTTAGGGTCAAAACATATATAAAATATAAAACAGCAACTTTTCATAAATTTCATTATTTTTCATAAGACAGTTAAAAAATTATCATATAATATATATTTTATGCTATATTTATTGCATGTATCAAATCACTTTTTTTTAGCTAGGATATTCAAAGGGGCCAGCAAAAAATTGAAATCAATTTCACAGGGTGTAATAAAAACATCAAAACAGAAGCATTTTAAAACAATAAAACTGGAGGAGACATGTGCATTTAAAGGATGACAATTTTTCGGTTTTTCACTCATATCTGCTGATCGCCAATTTTTCTGCATGCGTGATATTTCTGTTGAGACTCATCAGTTTAATAACTTAAAGATGCCTCAGGACAGAAGGCAATTTTAGCAGGTTAGGGTGATCACCAGCCACCCTGATGAGAGTTGGTCTTACTCTAAAGCTACGCAGCAATATGACGTGTGTTTCAGCTCAGATACACTAAAGAGTGATGTAGTGGTTTTCGCAACTCCGTTAACACCTGTAGACGCTGAACTGATCAGTATTAATGGGGGAGACACTTTTACTAGAACTCAGACTTAACCCAATAAGGAAAAGGGAAGAATTAAACTTCCCTTTACAGACATGATATACATTCATGTTTTGATCTTTCCATAACATGCCATTTATCCTTTTTTACATCTAAATTATGTAATTATTTAACTAATAATTTATTTTTATCTATGTTTAACCTGGTCATATTAGCAATTGCAGTTATTAAATGATTTGTGTATAAATCCATTCCTTTTATCTGTTTAAAGAATATTCATCTTCTTGCTGCCAAATTTATTTGATGAATAAAGTGGTCAATGATTGGGTTATGTGCTATTTATGTAACATTAAGCTTTATTTGGTATTAAATAGGTTGTGTGAATAATTATTTTTGTGTGCTAACATTTTAAGACAAATTCTCCTGAAAATAAAATGATAATAGAGGAAAACATTTATTTCACTTAGATAAATGTAAATCGAGTTGTAAACATCAGCACAACCACATCTAAAAACTATACTATAAAAGTAGCTAATATTCATGCTTAATTTCCCGGGCCATGGTAAATATTTCTAATTGCTCAATAAATGACCAAGCCCTTACATATCATGCTGCAACAGGGTAATGATTATTATCACAGTGGGTCAGTAATATACTGCAATTTGGTTTCCTTTTTAACTCAAATATTTTCTTTATAAAAAGGAAACAATCTTTATTTTTTTATATGTTGATTACAAACCAAGGTAAATATATTTTTTAGCACACTTGCAAAGCAAACCATAAAACAAAACAGAGGAGACAAATACCCGAAAGACACACTTTGCCAATTGAAATAAATGTCTTCATATATGTATCTGTCCATGGTCCTGAAGCCAGGATCTAGCATTGGTTAAATTATTGTTTCAACTGAAAAGAGGATATACCATCATAACTACAGCAATTTTTTATTGGTAAAGAAGAACCAAAGATCAATGAGACTGGTTAATATTGTGTTGTGGTTAAACATATACACCAAAACACGTAGAAGTCACCAAAATAAACTGTAAAGAGAGATAATTGAATAAGTGTAGGCACTTTCCCACCAAGGATTGGAATAAATAATAATTATTTGTAAGAAGTATTCTAACCTCAACAGGAGAGTCAGGTTCATCCAGGATGCTCTTCTCACTCTGCATCCGTTGCATCGTCCCTGTGGAACTGCGGTCCAATATCAAAACGTTTTGGCTGCCATCTCTTCCAAACTTGTCACTTTTTCTGGAGTCAGATGTCCTGCACACCTCGTAATTGTACACGTGTGGTAGATTCCCTGTTCCTAAAGTGTCTGAGTAACGTGGTGGATAATATGGAATCACAGGGAGGTTGGAGTGATATAGGATGCGGGACTGTCTCCATCTGTAGATCTTCACTGATATAATAACCACCAAACACGTAATGAATAGGAAGGAGACTACAGCCAGAGCCAAAACTAAATAAAACGTAAGGTTTTCATTGTACTCCTTGTCATGTGAAAAGTCAGTGAATTCTGATAGCACTTCAGGGAAGCTATCAGCCACCGCCACGTTAACAATAACTGTAGCCGAACGAGACGGCTGCCCGTTGTCCTCCACTATAACAGTCAGTCTCTGTTTCACAGCATCTTTATCAGTCACCTGACGGATTGTTCTTATTTCTCCATTCTGTAAGCCCACTTCAAACAGCGCTCTGTCTGTAGTTTTCTGCAGTTTATATGATAGCCAGGCGTTCTGTCCAGAGTCCACATCAACAGCCACCACTTTAGTCACCAGGTAGCCCACATCTGCTGAGCGAGGAACAATTTCAGCCAATAGAGAACTACCAGTCTGGACTGGGTACAGAATCTGAGGGGGGTTATCGTTCTCATCTTGGATCTGGATCTTTACAGTCACGTTGCTGCTAAGTGGAGGGGAGCCTCCATCTAGCGCTTTGATGTGGAACTGGAAATCTTTGATCTGCTCAAAGTCAAAAGAGCGAACTGCATGGATAACTCCACTCTCAGCACTAACTGACACATATGAAGATACTGGAGCTCCGTTTATAGAGGAGTCCTCCAATATGTAAGAAACATGGGCATTTTGCTTCCAGTCAGTGTCTATAGCTTTAACACTGAAAATAGAGAGACCTGGTGTGTTATTTTCTACAATGTAGGCCTCATATGAGCTCCTCTCAAAAACAGGTACATTGTCATTGACATCAGAGATCTGTAATTTGAAGGTGATGTTACTGGAGAGGGAGGGGACTCCTTCATCAGAGCATGTCACTGTGATGTTATACTCAGATACAGTCTCTCTGTCCAATTCATTGTCAGTTATGATACTGAAGAAATTGTTTGAGGTTGAAACAATTGAAAATGGGATCTCTCTTTTAATTTCACATTTTACTTTCCCATTTTCACCTGAATCTGGATCCAGTGTGTTTAAAATTGTCACAACTGTACCAAGCTGAACATCCTCTGTAACTACAGTCGACTTTGACATAACATTTACAATAGGTATGTTGTCATTTGTATCAATTATTTCTACAGTAACTTTGCACAAATCAGTTAGACCCCCTCCGTCCCTTGCCTGAACATGTAATTGATATTGTCGCTTTTTTTCATAGTCAGTTTTCCCAGCCAATTTAATTTCACCAGTCTCTGCGTTTATTTTAAAAAGGTCAGATGCATCGTCGACAGAATTTAATATTGCATATGATATTTTTGCATTGGATCCCTGATCAGCATCTACGGCATCAACTTTAATAACAACGGTACCTGTCGATGAATCTTCTCTTATTGAGGATTTATAGATCTTCTGTGTAAAAATTGGAGCATGATCATTGCTGTCAATGACATGTACATTTATTTGAATAGAACCGGACAGCTGCGGCTCACCGCCGTCTACTGCTGTTAATATAAGAGAAAGATGATCTTTTATTTCTCGGTCTAAAGGTTTTTCTAGGATCATCTCCACCATCTTGTTTCCGTCTACTTGATTTAGCAGTTTCAATATGAAGTTATCTGTGGGATATAACGCATACTGCTGTAGACCGTTCTTACCAACATCCAGATCAATCGCCTGCTCTAGCACAAAACCGGCCCCTGTAACAGCCGACTCGCTGATTCTGAATTCCATTTCCCCTCTTTTAAATGTCGGTGCGTTGTCATTAACATCGGTGACTTCCACTGTAACGCTGTAAAATTCCATTGGATTTTCTAAAATAACCTGAAAATGCAGCGCACACGGTGTCGTCTCTGCACAGATGGCCTCTCTGTCAATCCTGTCTTTAACAAGAAGGACTCCCTTTTCTTTATCAAGCTCGATGTAGTCAGCATTGTCCCCCGTATAAATGCGAGCCTTTCCAGATTTCAGTCTATTCAAATCCAAACTTAGGTCCTGAGAAATATCACCCACGAAAGATCCGCTTGGCAATTCCTCTGGAACAGAGTAGCTGATTTGTCCACGGACCGAAATGAAACACAGGAACAAAATAAAAAACAGGCCTAGCAGCCCCATTGTTCTGACCGTCAAAATCCCGCAAAAGCAGCTTTGTAAATACCCGATGTAAGCTATAAAGACTTAGTTAGTTTTGTGTTTTAACGTCTAGTAGCATTGACTGAATTGTAAACTATCTATTCAAAGATAAAATTCTCACAAAAAATCAACGTTATTTGAATAGGTTGCGACTGAATCCTCAGCTGTTGCCTTTCTGTCGTTCTCTTTAAAATGAAAAAAGGGAGATACAGCTCATTGCGTCTCATTTCAAATACAGATTGACCAACAGCGTCCCCACCAGTTCATCAAGCAAAACTACAGATGCTGAAAGCATTGAGTTTTATTAATATACATTTAAATATTTTCAGAAGTGTGGGAGTATTTTAAATAAAATGCAATGTATAATCTTTCAGGATTTAGGAAAGCTAGAAATGGTCAATGCCAAAAATCAAATCAAATTATAAAAGAGAATACTGAGATTGTTTGAAAAAAAAAAGGTGAATAAATACATCAACAGCGACATTGATTTCCTTTCACTGTACTCTAATCCCAAAATAAATGAAAAATGTGTAAAACGTGCAACTTTGTAGGCTTGGATGATTAGTGAGAAAATCATAGTCAAAGCTTTAATATCAATATTTATAAATATCTATCAATGTCTAAGATTTCCCATTAGCCACAGGGTAACCAGTGTCAGTAAACCTGACTCATCATTTACACATACATAGAAATTTACATAGATTGATTGTTCCTCATTTCAGTTTATGAATGTAATTCCAATGGTTAATATATACATATATCTGTATCACTTGGTCAAAATGTACCAATTTTTGCCTTGAACTAAATGCAGATGTGCAAAATTCTTTACATTTCTCTTAGCGCCTGGCGCTATCCTTGGTGCTGAAGAACTTATGGCCAGTTTAGGTAACTATTAAATTAGTATTAGACGCACAATCAAAAGGGAAGGAAATAATTTGCAGTTCAATGGAAAATAATTTTGAACTGAAATAAAAACCAATATAGAATTAATTTGCAAAAAGACGATTGAGGTGGATAAATGCATTTAAAAAACTAATTGGGGAAGAAAAGAATAGACCATAAGTATCAGAATAATTCTTTCTCTCATATGAAGGTATATTTTAGAAAAACAATACACAAATGATTTTAAAATACAATATAAAAATAGCATAAATTTTAAATAACTAACCTCCACAGAAGAGTCTGGTTCATCCAAGATGCTCTTCTCATTTTTTAATAGCTGCATTGTCCCTGTAGAATTGGGGTCCATTATCAGCACGTTCTGACTACCAGCTCTGTGGAACGTGCTGTCACTCTTCCTGGAGTCAGCCGTCCTACACACCTCGTAATTGTATAGGTGCGGCAGAGTCCCTGTTCCCAAAGTGTCCGAGTAACGTGGTGGATAATATGGAATCACCGGCAGGCTGGAGTGATACAGGATGCGGGACTGTCTCCATTTGTAGATCTTCACTGATATAATAACCACCAAACATGTAATGAATAGGAAGGAGACCACAGCCAGAGCCAAAACTAAATAAAACGTAAGGTTTTCATTGTACTCCTTGTCATGTGAAAAGTCAGTGAATTCTGATAGCACTTCAGGGAAGCT